AATCCCCAGTGACACACACACACACACACACACACACACACACACACACAAAAAATCTTTCCTGACCACATATTCTGGTACTTGGTTTGGACAATTGTGCACAGCAGGATCTTTGTAAGGCAATTTAAATATTTTGTCCTCTGGATAAAAAATAAGTACCAATTATGTTACTTTCCCTAGTTTTACAGGTGGTAAAATGAAGGTATGGGACACTCCCTGGTTCAAGATGACAATGCAAGCCAGGACCGGCCTGCGCCGGGGTCACCTTGCATCTAGGCTGGCTCGCTCTGCACAGTGTAGATTTTCCAGAGAGCCTCGGCATCACCTTGGCTCCCGTGTAGTTTCAGACAATTGCTCAGCTATTTTTAGTGGGCAAACCCACTGGGGAAGCAAGATCCCAACAAATGAGAGGAAAAGAATATAAGATACAAAGGCAGAAGCCCTGTCAGAGGTGAAGCAACGGTTAAGAACAGAAGGCTTTTCAGAGAAGTTGAGGACAACATTGCAAGGATAACACCACAGTGGATAAAATCGTGTTTTCATGATAGCCCTTTTCTTCCACAGTTCAAGCCCTTCTTCTGCTGCATGCTTTTCTAACAATATTTATTAGCTTGCTCTCTCTCTTTCTCTCTCTCTCTCTCTCTCTCTCTCTCTCTCTCTCTAGCAACACACACTGACAATCGCAGTAGCTCAACCCACTAAACTATAAACTCTATGAAGGTACAGTCGCCATTTGAGACAAATTTGTTTCCTCCACTAACTTTTGCATATTTATTGAATGATGAATAAGAAAAGATGCACAGCTAGAGTGACCCAAAAAAGACAACCCATTTTTATATCCTGTTTGCAAAAGAATTTGGTCTTTGAAAAAAACATGTCTCTGAAAACCTGGAGGAGTTTCATCATAATACTAGAGACATCTAGCACTAATACAAATAAATGAAAATGATGAACTTTGCCTTGTGTGAAATTATCCTAAGGGAGGGCCAGAGAAAAGCTGTAGATTACTCTTTCTGTATTGCATTTTAGAGTGTTGGGCTTTGAGGAAGTTGAGATGGAAAGGCTGGCGAAGCTTGGCTTGGGGTTGATAAAAGTAAGCCCACTCAGAATTATACCTTGTTGGAAATGCGACCTATCTGAAACTGCCCTGCTATAACTGTCCTGCTGTAACTTTTCATTTCATAGACAGAGAAGCTTGCAGTCAAGGGAGTATCTTACCCTCAGCCACTAAGCCAAATGGTGCCCTGGCTCCCAGACTGAATAGTTTACAAATAGGGTAATAAACAAAACCATGTGTCAAAGCCTTCCTGAAAAGTACCTGGGTTTGAATCTTAACCTTTTCAGTCATTAGTAAATGACACAGTATCACTGTACAAGATAAACAAAGGCTTCTAAACTAATTTGTGACAAAATTAGCACCAAAATGTAACAAAAAATCAAAAGTTAGGTTGTGCTTTGAAGGCTTTCTGCCATGTTCCATCTAAACCTCTAAGAGTTTCCACTGTCTGTAGCCCTGACTTGATGGGCAGAGGACAGTTTTCAGTTGTACATGCAAAGGCTGCCTAAGAACGCACTTGGAGACACAGGCATCCGCTGTGAGCTCCAGATGCCACCCTGTTCTTTTGAATGTTCCTGTTACCAGTTATAGGCAGAAGAGACCAGAATAACAAACAAGGCTCTATTTTGGCTCAGGAAAGTAGAAAGGACCTATCTTTTTTTTTTCCATTGCCACCTTGATGATAATTTATTAATGATTTTTTTTTTTCAGCCAGGCTTTATTCAGGTACTTTGGGACAGGGCGGTGAGTCAGAGGTTGGCATCAAAACCAAAAAAGAAGCCATAGTTCTTCCCTTGGGATTCAACTCTGGGCTTCAAATTCCCAGATCACACAACTTCCTAATTGGAAAGAAATGTTCTTAAACAAGGGCAGGGGTTTTACTGGAGCCTGACAGTGACTAATAAGGTTGTTCTAAAGACTGTAATGAAGGGGAAGTTGGATTTATATGGCACAGTGATTGTTAAAAAGTGTTTTCACCCTGCGGTTTATAGCTGAATATAAATAAAATATTTATGCTTTCGCAATCCCATCCCCAATTCCTGTAGATATGCTTTCCTCAAATTAACTTTGAAATGACACTCAAGCAGCACTTTCCTCCCCAAATGCCTTTGTTTCCTGCAAGATCTGCTTATTGAGTAGCAGATTTACAAGGTTCCTGTGTAAACTGTTTCCCAGCCGCAACCGCAGCCCTGGGACCGGCTGGAGACCAGTTTTCTCTCATCTCTCTAGCAGAAATGGGCAGCTCTCACATTGTATTCATTTAACTGTGGGCCAAATGGCACAGGCACGTCAATTTAAAATTATCTAGGGCGCTTACTCAGTAACCGGGATAAACACAATGCGCCAATTTAAGTTTCACTTGCTGAAATTCACACGACTGAAGGCTAATTTCTGAGTTGGGGAAGGGGATTGCTGTTGTTTTATTAGTCCCTTTCAAAACCCAGGACATTGCGTTCACAACAAAAACGGCCCTTGGTTTTAACTGCGTCAAGTCCGAAGTTTCCGCCCCTGTAGGGTACAGGCACGCAGGCGCGGGCAAGCACACGTGGACTCACACTCACACGCGCCCGCCCACACCCCCTTCCGTGTGACTCGCCTGCAGGATTTATGGGCTTCACCACCACGGATTACTGTCAGGTGCAGAAAGCAATTCTTTGTTCTGTGGGGATCTTCCTCCCCCTCGGATTCCACTGTTACTTACGGGTCACGTGAGCGCAAGGCCCGGCCAAGCCGGTGAGGTGGCGCCCCCAGAGCAGGGACACAAAGGCTCGGCGTGGCCAGCGCCTCCCTGGACGCCCCTCAGCTCCTGCGACACGAGTGAAACTAGCCCAGAACTGCCTGCGACTGAGAGGCTCCTTTAAGGGATGTCCAGTCATTTTAGCAAAGAAATCAGTCTTTCCTCCAGCTGGGAGAGCAAGTGCCCTGCGGGGGCCGGGTTTCTGCGCTGTGGTACAGCAGCCCCGAGAGAGCCAACCAGCCCGGAACGTCCAGGCACCGAGGACTCTTCCGACAGGGCGTATTCCTGGCGCCTAGCACAGGAGTCCTTAACAGAGCCAGAGCCTCGCAGCCACCCCAGCAGGAGAAATCCGACCCAGGGCCTTCAGCCCTCCCCAGGGTGTGGACACCCGGCGCTTTGCTTTGCTTTGCTTTTTTCCCCACCCTCCAGGCTGGCGCCCCAGCTCCTGCCTCCTGCAGCGCCGTGCGTCTGCAGCAGCAGCCCCTTCTGGGGCCGGGAGCTGGTTGAGCAGCCCTTGGGCAAGAAACTGGCGGCGGGGGTGGAGTGGGGTGGGTGTCGACAATCAAAATCAGCGTCTTACTGCAGTGTTTTAAAAATTTAATATGAAAGACCATAATGAACATTTATAAATAAAAAGAGGACCATTGTAGCGCCGTATAATTTTGAGACTGCAGGCTAAAAGATCCCCATGGACAAGCGGCGCCCCACAGACCACCAGAGCTGCTCGCTGTGCCAGGGCCCCGGGAGGGGAGCGCGGGTCGCAGGCCTCGGAAGCGGAGTCTCCACCAAGACCCCGCTGGGGAGCGGAGGGAGGCGCGGGGGCTGGAGGTAAGCGCGGTACATAGCCGCTCCTCCCGGAACAAAGGCGGAGAGGAAGGAGCCAGGGCAGGGCCGAGCCGGGGCGGGATGGGCCCGGCGGGTTCGGCCGCCCTCGAGGCCTCTCTCGTCCTCCACGCGCTGCCTGAAATGGAAGAGGCGACCTCCCCTCAGGGGAGCCCGCCGGCGAGTCCTGCGCTCCCTTCTAGCGGCGATTCATTCTCGCTAACAAGACTTGGCAAGATGTCGGGTGAATGACTTTGGCTTCGGTGAGGGCCCATCGCGTGCGCACACAGGGCCCCTGCCAAAAGCGGCCTCTGGGAAATTAAATGCATAACTACTGCGGGGCGGGGGAGAGGAAATGCTTTGTGACCTGGAAAGAGATGCAAAGAAACCCGAATGGGCGCCAGAGTTCATTACATCCTTTCCAAAGGTCGCTTTTTGCGGATACATTTTCGGGTTCTAGCTGTACATCACATGCGTACCCTTTTATTTCCTGAGAAGGCAGTTCACAGGTGTGCCAGATGGAGCTGAGGACTTCCCCCAAAGCAAAAACGTCTCATTCCAGCTCCACGCCCAGGATTAAACATCCTATAGGAAACGCGGACTGGAGCGCAGCCCTGGGCTCCACGGTGGGAGCCACGCTCCGGCAATGAAAGCCTCCCTCGCGGGGGTAAAGCTACAAAGTCCACACCTCACTTCTGTTTCTCCCTTGCGGGCGGGAGGGCTTCTTTCGTCTTCGAAATTGCCCGCGTATCTCAGGGAACCAAAAACCAGATTTAAAGGCTTAAGGATGGAAATCGATCACGATAATGCGTAAGATAATGTCTGAAAAATCGCATTTTAAAAAACGATTGGTCGGGCCGAGAAAGCACATGAAGTATGGGCGAGGAAGTCCCAGGCCCTGCCGAACAGGCAGCGACGCCTCGTAGCCGGCAAGAGCCCTCCGAGCCTGCTGGGGCGGGGACAGAAACGGGGGTCGAACCCTGACACCCATCCCGGCCGCGGCAAAGGCAGCTTCTCAGCGGGCAGTTCTCCGCCACGAAGGCAGAGAGCGCGCAGCTGCGGCGGGGCCGGCGGCGGACAGCACGAGACCGCCGCGCTCCATTCACAAGGTCCGGGAGCAGCCGCTGACAGGCCTTTTGGAGGCCGCCTCCCTCTTCCTCTAGGTCTCGGTTTTATGAATGGGCCCGGCCGCGAGCGCCCTGTTTACTCCGGTCTTTGTGACGTCTCGGCCCCGTGACCCGGCGCGAGCCGCGGCGCTCCATTCACGAGCCCTGGCGGGGGCGGGGAGCTGAGCGGGCGGCGCGAGCGGGGGGCGGTGCCGCGCGGCTAATGGAGAGAGGCGGAGTCTCGGAGGTAGTAATGAATCGGACCTCCGCGGGGCCAGCGGAGCCGCGAGAATAACTCCAGACCAAGGAGGGAAGTGCGGCTGGGCGGGCGCGGAGCTCCGGCGGAGCGTGGGGAGCGGCAGCTCGAGGGCCGCAGCGCCTTCAGCACAGGCGCCAGGCGACGGCAGAAGGGCGCCGGTGCTCTCCCGTAAACACGCTCCCGGCCCGCCGCCTTGGTGCCGGGACTGCTATGTAAGCCCGCGGCTGCGGAGGAAGGGACCCAGGAGCAGGGGCCGGCCCGGGGCCGCGCTGACCGTCCTTCGTGCGGGTGCCGCCGCTCAGCCCTTGCCCACCCGCTCGCTCTTTCCTGCAGCCTCGTTGGTCCGGTTGCCTCTCGCCTTGTCGCGCGCCAGCAGTTGCGGTGCCCTGCGACCATGGTGACGATGGAGGAACTGCGGGAGATGGACTGCAGCGTGCTCAAAAGGCTGATGAACCGGGACGAGAACGGCGGCGGCGCGGGCGGCAGCGGCGGCCACGGTGCGCTGGGGCTGCTGAGCGGGGGCAAGTGCCTGCTGCTGGACTGTAGACCGTTCCTGGCGCACAGCGCGGGCTACATCCGAGGCTCCGTCAACGTGCGCTGCAACACCATCGTGCGGCGGCGGGCCAAGGGCTCTGTCAGCCTGGAGCAGATCCTGCCCGCCGAGGAGGAGGTGCGCGCCCGCTTGCGCTCCGGCCTTTACTCGGCCGTCATCGTCTATGACGAGCGCAGCCCGCGCGCCGAGAGCCTTCGCGAAGACAGCACCGTGTCCCTGGTGGTGCAGGCACTGCGCCGCAACGCCGAACGCACGGATATCTGCCTGCTCAAAGGTAAACGTGGACGCCGCGGAGCTAGCTGGAGGGGAGGAGCGGGGGCTCCTGGCGGCCTGCGCCTTATTTGGCAAGGGGAAGGGGTACCCGAGTGATTCCAGGCTACAAAGATCCCAGTGCGTTTCTTTGTGCGCGTTGCCGGGTGAGTGCAAGCGCCCAGCCCTCCGGGACTGTGCGGGCGTTTCCTTGGTCACCTGCAAGTCCCCCTGAGATCCCGCGCTTGCTTGCACTCACTAGGGGTTCTGGCGTGGAGGGCAAGACGACTCCTCTCTACAGCCCCTCTTTGAATTTCGGAAAGTGCTCCTGGTGCGGATGGCGACAAGACAGGGCGGCTGGCTCGGCGAGTTTGGGCCAGGCACTGAGTCTCATTCCGAGAATGCGAGGGACGGGGGTACCCGCATAAAGGAATGAGCGCCGAGGCGCGATCGGCCCCGCAGGGTCCACTGGAAGGCAGCCCTTGATAGGAATGAAAATTGGATGGGAAAATGTCGGGAGCGAGGCGTGTGTGGGCTCCCGCTGCCCAAGTCCGGAGTCTCCTGGAAACTGGCCACCTTCTCCCGCCCCAAACTAAACCCGGGCTCTGAGAGCCGGAGGTTGGAGGATTGGGCATCAGGAGCCGCCGAGTGGAACAGCCCTCTGCTCCCTGCCAATCCGGGCAGCGGAGAATTACGACCTTTTGTTTAGGGACCCCACTCTCGACGATCTGATGGCGGCGCGTGCCCAGTTTAAGTGAACCCCAGAGAAAGCCTCAGCGCCAGGCGGTATGGGGACTAGGGATGGTTCGTCAGATCTGACAATTGGAAACTCCGAAAAGACCGCGTGTGATCTTCTCCGAGTCTCAGGAGGGACTTCGGGCGGCACCTGCCCGGCAAACTGGATTCGCAGCGCTGGGCTCAGGCTGGCGGGCCGGACGCGTGGGGTGGGGACGCCCCCTGCCGCGCTGATCCCCCACCCCCACCCTGCGGGCGGCATTCCGCGCATTCTTTCGCCGGGTTCGGGTCTTCGCTTCTGAACCCAGGGGCGTTTCAGAGTGGCGTCCTCCGACAACCGCAACTCTCGCTGCAGGCGCCCTCCGCCCCCTCCTTTCCCCTCGGGACCTGTGCGACCGGGAGGAAGGGGGTGGCGGAAACCTCCCGCCCGCCCCTTCCCAAAAGCACAAAACTGCTCAGAGCGCGCGGGCCGGGCTTGCCCCTGCTAAACAGCGGGGGGCTTTGTTCTCCGCAGTTGTTTCCTGACCATTTGACCTGTCAGCTGCTGGGGAAATGCTGCTGTTGACCTGCAGTTGAACTATTAAGGCGATTTTGCTGACTTTTCTTTCTTTTTCCTTGCGGGCCGCCTTTTGCATCTCAGTTAAGCTCAGATCCTCTCCCTTCAACTCAGAGCACTTTAGGAGCCAGTGCCGGCAAGGGATTTGCCCCGGACTGTCCGGCAGCGGAGCTGGGCGCGAAAGGGCTGACCTCGCCCACCCTGGGCCCGGCGCGCAGCATCCTGGTGCGGCCAGGTACTGCTCAGACTGCCTGGCGGGCGTCTGCGCCATTGTTAGAGCTCGCGGGCCCTGCCCGGCCTGGTGCTGGCGCGGGTGGGAAAGATGAGAGGTTTTCTCCTGCTCGCAGTCCCCCTCGGGGGGGGGGGGGGGGGGGGGGAGAGGCTGACCGTGATCTGCCCATTGCCTAGTGGTTCCGAGCCCAAGCGCTCTTTTCATCCAGGGCCCTGAACACAGGACGCACAAGAACGTCCCAGGCCAGAGCTGGCGGCAACCCCACGTGGTGACAGGCAGGATTTGTTTTGTTTTTCTTCCTGGAAGAAATACGGAGGGCGCCGCCCTGGAGCGGCAGCTTGGCCCTAAGTAAGGGTTTCGAGGGGCGCCTGACTCTTGGCCCCAGCTTCCAGGGAGAGTGACAAATTTTTAAGGTGTTCCTTCAGAGACCCTCGACCCAGACTGGTTCTGAGAGTCGCTCAGCGCAGGAGTTGCAGGCAGAGGCAGACACTGACCAGCAGTCCGGGTGGAACAGGCCGCCTTGGCGCAGAGCGTCCGGTGGTGGGTGGCGCAATGCCTGACCTGCGGAAAAGAAGCGTTTCCTGCGAGGCCCGCTTTGCTGTTGATCCCGGTAGGGCTGGAAAAGCACTCCAGCCTCTCAAAGGCCGCGCGCTTCCAGGTCAATTTGGAGGGTGTCTAACCAGGGCCCTAGTGTCCTCAAGGAATCCCTGACCCCAGGTCAGTTGACCTCAGTAACAAGTTTCAAAAATTTGGAGGCGGAGGTCTCCAGTCTTGTTCAATAGTGCAGGGCAGTAGCAGTGAGGCTAAGTGGGCCTTGTTTACATGGGGTGTGTGTGTGTGTGTGTGTGTAGGGGGGGGGAGCTGGGCTGTTTAGAAAGCAGTTCCTGCTCTGGGGACTAAGGAAAGGAGGCCCTAGAGAGAAGGAAAGGACCCGCCAGAGTCTGCTGCCCCCTCCTGTGGGAAGATGCAGGAAAGCCCAGGGCAGGCCCCAGAGTCCTGGCTTCCACCTAGAAAAAAATTGTCCTGTGGAAGACACATGGCTTCCTGGGCGGCGATTACAGCCCAGGGACCTAAAGAGGTACAGGGGAACGTTGGGTTGCAAGGGGGAAAAAAGCCATTTAGATGATTTAATAGCTGAATTGCTTGAGGCTTGAACTACTGGGTTCCCACCTGAGGTGCTCCGTTTGTTCCCCGAAGACACTTGTGTGTCTCAGGGTTTGGGCCTGGCCATGTGGACCAAGACGGGCAGGAGGGACAAGTGACACACCCGGAAGTGGTGGTGTCTGCCACCCTTGGTGTGTGCCTGGGGACGTAAAAAAGCAACAGGTTATTTGTTGGCATGATATCATCTTTCCCAGTGAAAATTTATCTAATAAGCAACAGCATTTGATAACCCAGTTCTTTTATTTGTGCCACTTTGAAGTAATGTGATTGGTTATTTGTTTTGGGAAGTTAGTGACCGATCCCACAAATAAGAATTGAAAAGACAGGAGTAAATTTTACTGAGCACCAATAAAACTTGACTTAAATTGTATATTTGCTCATAATAACCAATTTTGCTAAAAGAAGTAACAAAACTTCTACCATGTTTTATTTTTTACTAGTAAGAGATTTCCGTTGGGGTCATTTTCTTTTTAAAGCTCTTTTAACATAAAATCCTATCAGGCATCTTTAGGGAACAATTTAGAAACTTAAATGTTTCAGATGTTATCACAGTACATGTCTCCTTTGAAATCTCTTTTCTCTGTAAATCTTTGGGTTTTGATTCCCCCTGGGCTTTAAAATCAACAAACAAAAGGTGAGAGAAGAATTTTCTTACCTTAATTGAAGTCATTCTTTAACCCAGGATCCTTAAATAACAGATTCATCTACTACACAGAAAGATTTCAGGTCTAAAAATGTTATCTCACCCCACTCTAGTCTAGAGTTTCCCTCCTGACTTGTCAGTTCTTATTGAAATCCTGACTGCAAAACTGTCCTGGAGCTGCTCAGATCCATTGGGAAGGTCATCCAGGGCGGTGGTGGGGAGCCGGAAGCTGAGGCCCAGCAGCCTGCTCAGGTCACTGAAAGCTCTAAAGTCTTGCTATCACCGATCCAGATATTCCCGTTTCTCCCTTCAGCCTGAAACTCGCCTCCTCTGTCCTCCTTACAGTCCCTGGCCTGGCCTTGTGTTGAATCTGAGGGGGGAATGGTGCTCATCCAGGATCTTCGTGACTCTGGCGATTGTCTTCTGTCTTTTCTTTATCAGCATCCAGAAACTTCTGTGGCATGACTGATAGCTTTCCTGCCTTTCATATTGCAAAGGGAAAGTGCAGGGTTTTCTGTTTGCAAACAAACCTCAGTATCTGTCAGCCAAGGATTGGAAATGTTTCAGTGATAAAATGGTAAACCTCAAGATTTTTTCCAACCCGCTATTATAATTACAACTAATGAAGCAAATCCACGTCAAGCATCACAAGAATTGTTTCCAGCTAATGGAAGTAACTAAAAGGGTGCAGGTGTGAAATAAGAGTACAGATTCTTAAGGAAGCTGGCGGGGCCTCCTGGCCTCCCCCTCCACAGGAGGGGCAGATGCACCCAACAACACGGACTGCAAAGAAAACAGGGCCAGAGAAAGGGTGGCCATTTTAAGGAGCCAAGAAATTCCTTTTAACATTCAGAACATCTGAAACCAGATAGCAGTTTTCCTTACTGGGAGGAGTTGCCAGTTAACAAAGAGGAAGCATGACAGGAAGACAAGTTCATTCCATCGGGAGCTGGCCGCTGAACACAGCAGATAGCAATAGGGGACTGGAGAGACAGCAGGCCAGCCCCAGCCCCAGATGAGTAGAAGCCAGCCGCTGGCCTTGGACTTGCAAGACTCTGGTGGCTCCCAAGGTGAGGTGAGACTACGTTTTCACCCTGGGAGAATTTCAGGAGCATTTTAAAAGCACTGCCTAGCATTCACATGGTTGCATGAATACATTTATACAAAGCAAAGTTCCCAAAGGCAAATGACCTTCAAACAACCCAGGCTTAATTGCTGGGCAGAATAGGGTCATGGGACCTGTGTGGGAACAGCTGATACTGTGACCGAGAGGGTGAAGGGGCAAAGTGGCCGCTCTTCAGACCCATAGCCATAGACAATACCACAAGACAGTTTCACCCATCCCAGAGCCCACTGAGAGTCCTATTCTGCAGCATCAACAGCACTAATCAGCTTTTCCTTCGTAAAATGCTTTTCATTAATTATGTCTTGTTCCTTTAGCAGTCGTAGAAGATTTGTGGTTGAGCATATTCCTTAAACTTTGACAGTTTCCTTGCTGGGGGTGGGGGGCGCGAAGGAAATGTAGTGATTCCTCTCATAAGTCACATCGAAGTCAGTCCTTTTTGTCCTTTGTCATTTTGAAGTTCAGAAATGTAGGAATAGGAAGTATATTCTTAAAGAAGGAAGAAACAGGTCAAACTTCATGAGTGTATTTGTTATGAAACTTTATTCACAAGGTAGAAACACAGATTTTTAAGGACTGTACCTGCTGCCCTTGGGAGCTGGCCAGAGTGACCAGGAAGTAAGTAGATGGTGGACAGGTAGAATCTCAGTAAGGTGAGACTTAGATATTGTCATTTTTTTCTTTTCTTTTCTTTTTTTTTTTTTTTTTGTATTTTAGGGAAGGGTCTACAGGGCGTTCAGGGTCTCACTACTAGATTGGACTCTTAGTGAGCCTCCTGTTTACAGCCTCCCAAGTGCTGGGATTACAGGCACGTGCCACCACGCCCAGTCTCAATTGCCCTCTCAGCGTGCCCTGGGGGTGAAGCCAACACAGCAGGCCCCAGGGATTGAACCGCAAGCCCTTGTGCCAGGCACTCTTGGAACCCTTTCATTTTAAGGGCAGATGTTTGAAAGTGCTTAGCCCAAAGCTGGAGCTGGCGCTTGTCCCCAAATCTGTCTCTACTTGCTTTTGAACACCTGGAGGAGGTACAGGGCCGAGTATAGGATGAAAATCAGTTTTGGATGAAACACATGATCTAAGCCCAGCTGGTATGGCTGTGATACTAGGAATATACCAATGCTGGGCTGGGTGGGAGAGAGAGGGGAAGAGAGGAGGAAGAGAGGGGAAGACAACCATAGCTGTTGTCTTCCATACACATTCAGTGCATTGAATTCACATTATGATCCCCAGTGGAATAAGTGCATGTACTACTGAACTAAAACGACAGGAAACGACACACTCTTTAAATGTCACGAGTGCCTTCTGCCAATTCCCATTCTCTTGTATTTCTTTCTTTCCTTTTGTTTTTTCTTTGAGAAATATTGATCATGGCTTCTTAATGACTGCAGTGAAAAGAAATCCTTATGATAAGAGCAGAGCTTGGTGAAATGTCAGCGGTATCCAGAAACAAAATTTGTTGTTTCTGCCTGTGTCTCAGGTTGGGACACCAGCAGCCTGTGGCACAGGTGGAGGCCACGGCCTAGGGGTGAAAGGCAGAGTGAGTAGAGCCACAGGGTGTGCCCCGTAGAGTCCCAGTGGAGGTATGGCTTGGATGCCCCAAAACTGAGTGCTGGCCTTGCCCTCATGTGGCTCAGGGGCCACAGGTAGGTGTCTTGGCTGCCTGTACCTCCATTCTCTTGTTTTGTAAAATTGGGGTCCAGCACATGTTTGCAGGGGCTGGGGGCACACTTGGAAAGTACACTGTATAACAAGTACTGCCTTTTCACAATGCCTTTATTCATTGTGGGGGATAGAGCTCGGCCTCACACCCCACAGTGGCCACCATTTTTATGGATGTAGGTGATACCCAAGATGGCTCCAGGGCTATGGGATGGGCTGGACTCCCTTCTTCGCTCTGGCATGGATTAATGCCTACTTGTGCTCATTGTGCGGGGCAACCTTGGCTTCCTCATCCTCCAGGTTCTTTGTGTCTACCGTAGACCCATAAAGCTAGCAGCAGCTTGGGGAGAAGGATGCCCAAGTGCTCCTGTCCCCTTGGCTAATCCGCCTCGGTTCTGAGTTTCTGTGAAGCTACCCCCAGAGAGAATGGCATCTTTTCCAGGCTGGCCTGTTCTCTAATGCGGGGCTGCCAGCCCTGCGCACCTGCACCTGGCTAGTTGACTCTAGAGGTGGTGGATTTGAATTCCTGGAAGGGACGGTAGAGTCAGGAAGTCAAATACTGGCCCTTCCTCTGACTTTATGGTCTTAAGGCTTCCTAGAGCACATCGGGAAGACCCAGGAAGGAGGACTGTCAGAAAGCTAGGAAGTGGCACATAGAACACACACAGCCCCTTGGTTCCCTTTGGTCCTGGAAGAGCTCTACCAAGGTCCTCATGTGGGTGCCAACGAAGGACGCTTTCATAACGTGTCTCAAGGCCAGATGCTGAGCACTGGCTGCTGGAGTCAGTCTGCCCAGGGCTGGAAGGGGAGATGGAGGCTTGGAGTTTAGGCCCTGGGTGCAGGCTGCTTGGCAGGTGTGGCTCACAGCTTGACCGCAGAGCCTGAGCCCCTTCATCTCCAGTCCAATCTGGTTCTCACAGGTTCTGCAGCAGGGAGAGCATGCTGTCAGCCACTCTGTGACCATGGTGACTTGCCTAACACTGCCTTTTAGGTGGGACAGTTACCTGCCTTCTCCGTGGGGAGCATGGGCCAGATATCACTCACAAACCTTGCATTTGTTCTTTACAGTGTGTTTCTCTAGGTCAGATAATACAATAGGCACTAAGATCATTAGGTTAAAAGCTTTGAAAGTTCTGGAGAAGTAGAGAGTGACATCTGATGGCTGTGGTCATAGATATTCCAGCACAACTTGTGGATCAGTCCCTTGCCCCCTCCTTCTCCAGAGGTGGCGGGTATTGACTGAGGCTTCTTGGGAGAGGCCCACGGAGGACTTGGGGTAGACACTTGCCAGCCCCTCTGCCCCATACTCTAGTGTCTGCACCTCCAGCAGCAGTGTTGGCAGCCTTCCATGGAAAGGGGTTGGGAGAGGCCTGTGGGGGTGCTCTTGGGGTGAGGTAGCTCGAAGGTCACCAGCACGTTGGAAGCTGGCAGCGCTGGCCGACCATCAGGTTTTTCAGCCAGGAGGCTGGTCACTGTGACTCAGCAGGAAGGAGGGCCTGTGACCACAGAGATACCATTTATATCCCAAGGGACAGGGCAGAGGGGAAGAGCCGCCTCCAGTCAGAGAGGAAAAAATGGGTGCCCTGTTTCTGTAAGCCTTATGATGTGGTGAAGAATAATTTTCCTTCCCCTCAGAAGCAGCAGGACACAGTGTTTCAAGGCCAGGATCAGGGGCAAGTGCTTGAGTAACAGTCACATTTCTGCTCACTGTAAGATTTCCTGTGGACTGGTGGTATGAGGGGGTAGCACCCTCTGACCCAGTCAGAAGTGCCGAATCCTGCTGTAGGACCCAGCCTGTCGTTCATTCTAGATTATCTGAGTAGGGCTGTTAGAGCAGTTGGTGTCTAATGTGCTGACCAAAGTGAACTGATACAACTTCTGGTCCCATAGAAACTGCAAAATAAAAAAGGGGTGGCCAGGCTTCCACAATTGATTGTTAGCAGCCCACAGAGTTGCAGAGATCCCAGAACGCCAGGGCACACAGGCCATTTGTCCTCTGACAGGCCCTGTCTGCCTCTCTGGCCCTGAGCAGTTGGCCCCTCATGTTCATTTCCTTCCTGGAGGACAGGCCCAGCACCATCCTCTCTGGGGCTTGCAACTCTCAGGTCAGCAAACCCTTCCTTGCCCCAAACCTGTGGTGGGTAGTACTGGTTTATATGGCAGCCTGCGGCTGGCCAGTTGACGCCTGCTCCATTTCTGAGACCCGGAGGAGGGGTCTGAAGCCAGAGGTCCAACCAGGTCATCTTCCCAGGCCCAGGGCCATGGCGGCAGTGACCACAGATACCCATAGCTGGTTCCTGTCTGAGGAGCTGTCCTGGAGAGCACCTTGGCCTATCCCTGCACTTTCTTCTGTTTTCATCCCACCCTGAATTCTAGACCCTTAAGCTGACTGGAACCCCTCTTTCCGGTCTGATGATGTGCTGGCCGGTCACAGGCTCTTGCTCTCCGGAGTGGTGGCTGCAGCCCTCATCTCCAAGCGCACAGCACCACCTTGTGGCAGACATGGAGCCAGACAACCTCCGCCTTCGCCGCCAGCTCTCCACAGCTGGTGCGGTTCCAGGTCTTTCTGGCTTCCTGGTGGTTCAGCGGCCTCGTTGACCTCAGTTTTCTTTCTCCTTTACAGGTGGCTATGAGAGGTTTTCCTCTGAGTACCCAGAATTCTGCTCCAAAACCAAGGCGCTGGCTGCCATCCCACCTCCTGTGCCCCGCAGCGCCACAGAGTCCTTGGACATGGGCTGCAGCTCCTGCGGGACGCCTCTGCACGACCAGGTAGACTTGGGACATGGAGTGCGGGGTAACACAGAGACGCTGGAGGCAGCCTTCCTTTCGGAGTATAGACATTCTAAGGCTTCAAACACAGGGCCTCCATGTGAGGGAAATATGACCAACCTTGATTACTGGGCTGGGGTTTTATTCTGTGCATTTTTTCCCCCTCCTTCTTCTATTACCATTACTTAAAAAAACATAAAGACATTGTCCCCTGGCTTGGCCTCCAGAGTGCTGCATGGATGAACGAGGGCCTGCATACAGGAACTCAAGAGTGTGCTTCTTGTTGTGAGCCCTGGTCCTCCCAGCAGCAGGCTGTAGTCCACATGGGTGTTGGCTGCAGGCCCAGGGAGCGTAAGGAGAACAGCCCCAGCTGCTGCATTTCTCTACAAGCCACCCTTCCCGCTCCAGTAAAGTTCAGTGTCCAGCAGCTCTGCCCAGCTGATCTCATCACGACTTTGAGCCAGCTTCACATCATTTTGCCACAACCCCTCTCGTCTCTGAGCCCAGAGTGGCATGCGTCTCTGATATGCTAAGTGAGGACATATCCAAACGGTAGAGTCCCTAAGTCACACAGCAAAACACTGGATGATTAGCAGGTGAAGGCTCCTAGTGTTGCAGACGTGCCGAGGCCAGCAGTGTGCACGCTACCTCCTTTTCGTGGGGAGGTAAGCCCAAGGCATTGCCCATCCCAGCTTCTCTGCCACCCCCAGCGTGCATGGCTAGAGAAGTCCCCTTGAGCCCAACCACCCCTCCAGGAGATTCAAGAAGGGGAAATGGAAAGACTGTCCCGCAGGATCTCCCCAGGACCAAAAGCCTGCCTTGGACTGTCCTCCCCCTCCCCACTGCCAGTGCTGCAGCCCTTTTCCTGGAGCCCTTTTGTTCATGTTCTTTGGCTTTTGTCTCTTTTGTTCCAGGGAGGTCCTGTCGAGATCCTTCCCTTCCTCTACCTCGGCAGTGCCTACCACGCTGCCCGCAGAGACATGCTGGATGCCCTGGGGATCACAGCCCTGCTGAATGTCTCTTCAGACTGCCCGAACCACTTTGAAGGACACTACCAGTACAAGTGCATTCCCGTGGAAGACAACCACAAAGCTGACATCAGCTCCTGGTTCATGGAAGCCATCGAGTACATCGGTAGGCTGGCCCCTCTGGGTTCTGGGCAGAAGATAGCAGTGACTAAGAGGGAACGCAGGGACTGAGAGGGTCCTGCAGGTGTTGTGGGATCTGTCCGTTTGCCCAGGAATAGAATGACACACACTTTAGCCATGCACAGCTTTTTCTTGCTCAGCTCTACATGCATAGGTGTTAAGAGGCTTTGCATGGGAATGAAGACAAAGAATTGGGCTACAAGGGGCCAGGGAGATAGCTCAGTAGAATATGTACCTGCCTGGCAAGCGCAGGTTCCTGAGCTGAATCCCTGGTACTGCAAAAAAGAAAAAAAGAATTGGCCATTGGCCCACTACCTTCTGTCCTGCGTGGTAGGGTCTAATGGGTCTAGCGTGCAATTTTTCCAAGCAAAGTGCTTTTTGGTTAAATCTCGAAAATATCCTCCGATCTCCATCTGGCATGGCTCTTCACTCAGCAGGGAGTCCCCAGCCCTGATTGTTCCTGTTCTCATCCTCTGCCCTAGATGCCGTGAAGGACTGCCGTGGGAGGGTGCTGGTGCACTGCCAGGCGGGCATCTCTCGCTCGGCCACTATCTGCCTGGCCTACCTGATGATGAAGAAGCGGGTGCGGCTGGAAGAGGCCTTTGAGTTCGTCAAGCAGCGCCGGAGCATCATCTCACCTAACTTCAGCTTCATGGGGCAGCTGCTGCAGTTTGAGTCCCAGGTGCTGGCCACATCCTGTGCTGCCGAGGCTGCTAGCCCTTCTGGCCCCCTGCGGGAGCGGGGCAAGGCCACCCCAACCCCGACCTCACAGTTTGTCTTCAGCTTCCCCGTGTCTGTGGGCGTGCACTCGGCCCCCAGCAGCCTGCCCTACCTGCACAGCCCTATCACCACCTCTCCCAGCTGTTAGAGCCAGCAGCAGAGCCCCGGACACACAGCTGGCCCCAGCGAGACCCCCAGTGAGGGTTGGGTGAGGCACACACATATGGGCAGCAAGTAGGGCCTGACCAGCTGGGGCAGGTGACCAAGGTCCGTCCTGTCCATTTCTCCTCGGCCAACCAACCATGGGGCCAGATAGAATGGCAATAAGGACTTTGAACACATATTAAAAGCAAACAGGCAAAACACTCCAACTTATAGCAATAACGGCTGCATCAGTGGCCAGGGAAGACCTTGGTTTGGTTTATGTGTCAGTTTTACTTTTCAGGTAGAAATTTCTTACCTCATTTTTTTAAGCAGTAAGGCTTGAAGTTATGAAGCCCACAGACCCTGGCAAATGTGCCCAGCCAGTTTCCTTACAGGGGGAGGGAGCAAGGGGAAGGACAACACGAAGAAGAAAAGGAGTTTGCCAGAAGTGCCTGGTTCTGTCTGCTTGTCCTACTATTACTGTTGTTGTAGTCACAGGAATTTTGTTTTTTAAAAGAAAACTAGGATAATGGTTTTCATTTCTAATTATTCACCAGTAGGTGAATAATTATGCTTAATAATAAATAAAAATATTTATTACGAGTTTCCTCAGAGTATGTCAGTACAAGGAGTCTAGTGGCAGTGAATTTAGTGTATGTTTCTGTTGATGTCAAATAGCAGAGCACAAGAGCATGCCAGTGTCCAAACAGCGGGGCAGTCATGGGGTCACGCAGGGCTATGGGAGTGCAGGGTGGTCATCGTGTGCTTGTCGACAGTGAGACGCAGGCAGGTTGGGGAGGGGGAGGACAAGGAAAGGAGAGGACCACTTTTTAATTAGTTTTACAGCTGGTTCCTGGGCACATGGACCATAACCATACAACCATTTCTCTCCGATAATCTATTTGATGGTTGGAGTGTTTTTCTTTGAGACCTGTGTAGGGCTTGTATGTGGTCTGTGATAAATGCCATATTCTATATAAGGTGCTCCTGGAAAATTGGGTGCACTTCAGATTTTCCTATAGTGACATAATTTGGCAAGGCCATGGGGGAAACCAGATCTCTTTCAATACCTGAAGTGAATCTTTTTGTAAGTTGAAATACTGTCTTGCTTTTGCATAAATCAGAGTTTTTAATTTAAGGGGGGTTTATTTAAAATGAAGTGTACGAACAAATCCTTGTGTTACTAAATTACAGCAAGGTGAATTTTTTAAAGGCCCTTTGTCTTTTGAATAAAAAGTGGATGGATGCCATGTTTCAGGTCTTTCTAAAGATTAGAGGGATAAGAGGCCCCCTTGAAGGCAGTGTAGGGCTGGCTGCTGGCTTAGGAGGTACTTCATGCCTACTTGGGAGCCATTTTGAATCCTTAGGCTAATGCCATTTTTAGGGGCCTTTCCAAATGGAGGAATGGCTTTAGAGAGAAAAGGACATTTTTCTGTGGGGAGGGGTGGGAGGGGGTAGAGGGAAAAAGCTACGTGTTACTTCATTTGTAGTGTTGTGGAACAGTGTTGTTTTGGATTAGGTCATTGCAAACTTGTCTAGAGATGAGAGCATTTTTTTATAGCCTTCTAAGAGTTTAGCTCTCTGAACATTATTGCTCAGCTGTAAGTAACGTCAGCTCTCAATGTCACTGTTGTGTAGGAACGCCATTTCTCGTTGGGTACTGCAGACCGGCCTGAGTTCAATACGTTTCCTTCTGCCTTTCTGTGTCAAGCCCTGTCTTTGGGAGAGGGCAGAGTTCCCACTTCCTGGTTTTAGAAAGCCCGGAAGTGCCCTGTATCTTTGGGAGCCACCTGGCTGAAGAGTCATAGGGCGTCACAAGGGGGGGTGAGGGTCCCAGATGTCAGACTCCTTCAGAGACTGTGCAGCCGGACATTTCCACTTCTTCCATGGTTCCTGAAGTCACTTTGTGTCTCCACTTTGGTGGAGACTGAGGTCAAGTGAGTTCTGCACTGCAAGAGGCTCCGGTGCCAGGACCAGATGGGGCAGCAGAGGGGCTACAGGAGGGGAGGGGCGGGCGACCCCAGAAGATTCACTTTTTATACAGTGTGTGTATATTTGCCAAATCTGTCCTTTTTTAGACTTGATCCCAACTACATAGATAGTAGGAACTCAGGATTAGCTCCAAATGTCTTTCTCTGCTTCCCAGTTCAAGTCTTCTGTCTCAGTGTCAAACAGCTATTTATATAAAGTCATTTTCTTTGTACTTGGTAACAGCATGACTCTTAGAAATAAAATAGGACATTGGCTCGATTGAACATGGGAGCTGTTTCTATTGTTGACCTCCCACCGGAAGTCCCTTTGATGACTTGGAGCAGCTCTGCTGAGGAGACCACTACAGGGTCAGCCCAAACGGCCAGCAGGTTTCCATAGGCGACAGTCCCTCTTCCCAAGCAATCTCTGGTGTGAAGTCCTGTAATAGCCAGAAGCATTGCTACTCTGATCACCAGCTTTGCTGTTGGCCACAGCAAGCAGCAGGCTCATTGGGTATTTGCCATAGAGAATGAGAATGTCGCTGACGCCCTCCCAGGATCTTGTCTAGCTCTTGGGTTGTTTGTGGAAGAGTCAAAGGAATGGGGTGGACTTCCCCACAGAGCAGTATTAGATGCAAACCTAGTGAGCAGTAGCTGGTAGTTCTCAGCTTCATTCCTTCCTGTGGCCATTCAGCTGGGGTGCTCCATTTTCATAAAATTAGGAAGCGAGGAGAAAAATGTGAAGCAATGATTCGCCTTGGCTGTCTGTTCCAATCACCTGAGGAACTTGTGATATCTTGATACCTTACCCTGGCTGTTTCTGGCCAAGTAAAGCAGAATTCCTGAGGGTGGGGCCCAGGAATCAGGGTATTTCAAAGTTGCCAGGGGCAGCCAGCTGAGGGAGACTGCCCTTCCCTCTGGATGGCAAAGTGGTGCTGCAGGCTGTCTCACTGAAGCCACAGCCAGGAGTCTCACTGAAACCACAGCCAGACATTTGTCCCTGGCTCAGGGAGACCTCTGTACTGTCCCAACCCAGTTAAGGGACAAGTTGTTTTCTCCAGGGAGCTCCTGAATGGGGCACCTCTTCATGCTCTTCAAAAGCCAGCTGGAATATGGAGCATTGTTAGCAGACTCTACAGTGGCTAAGGATTGATGCTTTTCCTTGAAATTTTCTTGTCAAGAAAAATGGAGTCTGTTCTGAAGGTTGTCCTCCAGAGTACCCTGCCTTTCTTAAAGTTTGAGTTATTCAAGAAGGGACTTCACAAAGACACCAATGCAATACTTGTAAATAGCCCCATCTTGTAGAATGAGGTCATTTCTACATTTCTTACACCTGTATTTCTGTAGGATGTATATAGTTTAGGGGATTATTTTGTGGGGGGTTGAATTTTTTTTTTTTAGAGAAGTCAAGATGTCTTTTTATTTATTGCTTGAAAAAGGATCATTTGAAGAAAATAAACACATTTTCAACCACTTTCTGCCTTGGTTTACGCTCTCCTTTAACTCAGACTTGCTATGACCGTTCAGGAGGGGAGGAAAGAAAGCCCAGACACCCAGCAACCTCACCCACTTTGTGTGTGCAGTAGAGCAAGGCCCAGATGCAATGATGCCCTTCTGCCTCACCATTCCAGGTAGGTGAGAGGAGCAGGCTGATGCCAAGAATCTAATGGCCCCGGTAGCAGAGAGACAGGTTAGGGTTCTGCTACCTACCGTGTGCTGTCCCTAGGACTCAGAGATAAGGGGGCTCCTCAGTGGGAGAGGTCAGGCCTAGCCAGACAGACAGCCAAGTGCGAAGGCTGGAACACGTACGTGTAAGGAAGGAATTTCCACCCAGGCAGTCCAGCCCTGCTTGCAGAATCTGAGGGAATGTTACTGACGTCATGTTCTATCAGGGTCATGGAAATAAGCTACATGTTTCAAGGCCAGATGGGAGAAATTCCTGAAGGTTATATAGGCCACAGCTTCCCCAGTGCTAATCTATTGCTACTTTGCACATCACAAACCCAAAACTTGACTACTAGACCCACATTGCTGTTGTACTGTAAATATTAATCATTCTGGGAGCACCAGCCAAGGTGATTAGGTGCAAGAAATAAAGAATTCAGTTTGGAAATTGGGAGACCAAATTGTCTGGAAGGGATGTGTCTGGAAAGCTACGGAATTAGCTGCAATGCCATCAGAAATAGGAATTAAGATTCGACTCTTTCTCCCTATTAGGGTGGTCACGTACGGCATTCATACTGCTGCTAATTACTCCTGTGCTGACAGAAATTACTAATCAACTGCAGTCTTGCTGTACCATCTACCACTTTACCTGGGCAAGTGGTAGATTCTAAAGTTAATGTTAGGGAAAATACTAACTTTTTTATATGAAAATATAATTGGAATAGGAGTAGTAGAGAACCCATATACAATGACAGTTTTTAATGCCTACAATAAACTTTAGTGGAAGTAAGAGACCGGCACCTGCAAGAGCCCTGCCCATAGACTTCCATGGAAATGGGAAAGGTGAGAGGACAGCGTTGTTCTTGGGTAAGAAGACCTACTATTGAAAAGATGATTTCTCTAAATGTAAAATGTACATTTAATGAGGTGTCAGTTGACATCAAAAGGTCTTCTAGCAAAACATGGGACATAATTAAGATTTTGCTTGGAGAAATATGCATGCAAGAAACTGAAAAAAATAGGGGACAGAATCACAAGGTAGGGGTAAACCATGGTAATCCCACAGAGGATAAAGAGCAGATTTATTATAGTTCTGTTGGCTGGGAGGTCCCAGGTGAATGAGGACATTCCTGCTTCATCATCCCATGGTCAAAGGCAGATAGGCCAGAGTGTGAGACAGGGTCAGTGAGATAGCTCAGTGGACTAAGCGCCTGCTTGGGCAAGTGCAGGGACTGGGGTTCAATCCCTGGCACCACATGCCGTGCCAGTCCCGCTCCCCGGGTGCACTGAGCTGGCCCCCAAGACTGGGCGTGATGCACATCTGTAATCCCAGTGCTGGAGAGGCTGAAAGCAGGAGGATCACTACCAGTCAAGGTTGTAGTGAGACCCTGTAATAAATACATTACAAAAAAAAAGGGTGAGAGGTGAGGCTGAGGCTCAAAGATCACTGCACCATCCTTGGCCAAGTAGTGAGTTCAAGGCCAGCCTGAACTACATAGTGAAATTGTGTCTCAAAAAGAGGGACACTTATAATGAGCCCACATGAGAAGATATGGAGCCATTCCTGAGGGGAGAGTCCTCCCAACCTATTTGCCTCTTAAAAGCCCCATACTTCTACTACATTGTTGCATTGAGGATCATACTTCCAACACATGAACTTTGGGGGACGCATTCACAGCATGGCAAGAAGAAGGAGACATGTCCTTTTGCATTGTACCTATCACTACTGTGATAAAATAGTTTATGGACTATTTCTTAAAATAGACATTTATGGGTCCACGTACACACATGTAAGAGATGCTACACTCCCACTGTGATTTTGATTTACAGCTCATTTTAGAAGTGTATTTATCCTTTTCCCTTTCTAACCTCTCCTCACATTACTATCTCTTTTATCCAAGAGTTTAGTTACATAAATGCTTGTTTTGTTTTGTACATGAAGTCGGCAGTTAGGAGTTGGAGCAGGACTGCTAGACACTGAGCACCCAGGCTGCCCATGGCTTGTGCTGTGGCCTGTGCTGCTGGCATCTAAAAGCTGGGGTGGCTCCCCTGCTGTCTGGCAGTTGGTACTGTCCAGGTCTGTTGCGACTGTGCCTTGAGCTCCTGTTAGAGCCCTCTCCAGCTCGGCAGTCTGAGTGGTGAGATTTCTTACACAACAGCTCCAGGTGGGTGTCCCAGCAAACAGGTACAAGCTGCTCCCCTTTACAGTCTCATCTCAGAAGTCCCAGGAAGTACTTGCTCTTTATTGAAGAGTTGTACGCCTCATCTGATTCAAATAAGAGAAGAGCCTGTCTCTTGTAGGAAAAAAAAAAAAGTCAAAATGTTTTGTAATCATTAAAAAAAAAAATCCTACCACACTGATAAAGTTATTTAGAAAACCTGAAAATGCAACTTTATCCTTGATCCACAAATACTTATCATCTGAGAGCTCGCCCAAGAACCAACCCTTCTGACAGGGTTTTGGCACCTAGAGGTGGTCTTTAAAATTCCCTGGTGGATCCAAGTGTGTTCTACCTGCTGATGCCAAGATCTTTCCCTTGATTTCTTCCTGAAACCCACTAAAAGTGCATCAGGCTGAGGGCATCGAAGATTTAGCTCTGTGCCCGTATTAGGGTGGTCACATATGGCATCTGTGCTGCTGCTAATTACCCCTGCATTGACGGGCATTACTAACCAGCTGTAGTCTTACTTTCTACTGAGCATACGTATGTCACTGAGCTCAACAGAGCACTACAGGTACTCACTGCCCCCTCCATAGAGCAGACCTACAAGAAAATAAGCACTAATATTTGTCAAGTGGCAGTCTAAGTTCTTTGTATTAATTGATTTAATCCTCACAGTGGCCTAATAAGGATGTAGATCCCAACATTATCTTCACTTCATAGGTGAGGACAGGGAGGTAAAGGAAGATTAAACAACTTGACCAGGATCACAGGTGTTTGATTCAGGAATAAGGATTTAAACCTGAGTTTTCAGCCACCATGCATGCTGCCTGCTCATTACATATTGATGCCATCTGACCCAGAAACATCGCAAGACAAACCTACCCCTAAAGAAATACAGGGAAGTAGAAAGCTATAGAAGTGTCATGTAAGGAGGAAGAGGAAGTGAGGAGGGCATGAAGCACCTGCTAACTTAGGCCCCATCAGAGCTTACCTCTAGCCTGCTCTTGGAGTCCTTTGTTCATCTGTCTCTACCCAACTAAGTGCATGATATGGAGAACAATGAGCCAGGACAATACCATGTGTACTGGATCCACCAGTGCTATAGTATGGAGGGGCTGTGACCCACTGTCTGCCTGCCAGATTGAGACAGGCAAGCAAGGGGAGCCCCAGAGGTTCTGGGTAAGGGTGATGCATCCCCATGAGCCCTTGCTCTAACATTTGCCTTTTTTTCTATGAGGTTGCACCTGGTGCTATGAGGGCGGGGAGGTTCTTAGACCTAAGAACGAGGACCATACATCACACAGACACTGATTTGTTTCCTCCCTATGGTGAGTGCTTTCATAAGACCTCTGACTTATTACCCCATGAACCCAACAGACCTGTATCTAAGAGCACATCCTAGATGAACCTTCCTGTTGCAGCAGAAAGTACAGACTGCAACTGGAGGAAGAACAA